GGAACATGGGGGAAATGTGAGGGGAAAACATGGGGGAGACGTGAGGGGAAAATGGGAAAAACTGAAAAGAAAATAGGAAAGGGACACTCCTGGACTTCCTAAAACCAGATATGAACAAAATGATGAGAAATTATTCAATGTGAGTAACTGTTTTCCCGGGATTTGCATCCTCCATTCCTGTGGGTTTATTTCATACCAAATAACACCATTTTAATTCAAAACCAGATCTCAGCTGGGAGGAAAAGCCCGAGTGTGTGGAGAGGGAAATAAATGAAAAGATATTTTTTGGAGAGGTTGTTTCACCTGTCTGCAGTCTCCAGCAGTTTCTGCACTATCAGCTCAAAGGAGGAGGATAAGCAGTAGGTTGCTGGTTCTTCTTGATCATCACCCACATCTGCAGCTTCATAGGCAGCCTCAGCAAGGCTGGAGAAGGCCTGAAAAATAAAATATCCATTGGTTTTCCATCCTCAGAGTTCCAGAAATTCAGATTTCAGCGGTTTTTATTTAAAAAAAAAAACAAACCAAAAAAAACTCCACAAAAAAAATCCAACAAAGCAAAGAAACACAAAAAAATCCCCAAAACAAACAAAAAAAACCATAAAAAAACACACATAAAAAAACAAAACAAAAAACCCCCAAAACCAAACCAAAACAAACAAAAAAACCCAACCAAAAACCAAAAAAAATCCCCAAAACAAAACATCAAACCCCCAAAACAAATAAACAAAACCACAAAAATCCCCAACGAACCAAAAAAAAAAACCATAAAAAAAATCCCAAAAAAGAACAAAAAAACCCAACCCCCTGAAAAAAAACCCAAACCAAACCAAAAAAAAAACCAACCCCCAAAAAACATAAACCAGAAAAAAAAAACCCAAATCCTCAAATTAAAAAGTGTGCAGGCTGAACAATTCCAGAGCACTTTAACTGTGCTATAGGTGGGTGAGAGCTTAAAAGCTTTAAAGGTTTTTTTTTTTTTTATTTTACTCTAAAACCACCCAGGAATCATCATCAGGAGACAAAAACCACCTGGATTTTTGCCAGGGAAAATCCCTTTGTGCTGATGAGTTTTGAGAACCTCTGGAATTTTATATTTAAAAAAAAAAAAAAAAAAAAAAAAAAAAGGATTCTGTCATTTCTAGGAATTGTTTTGACAGGAAAATCCTCCTCCCCTGCTCAGTCTGAAGGAGCAGCTCCTGCAAGGCACTGAGGACATGGAGACCACAAAAAAGCAGCAGGGATAAAAGAAATAGAAATTCTGCTTCCCAAATTATTTCTGGGATCACTCCAGGAGCAGGTTTGGGTCTTGATAAAAATCTTAATCCAAAAATCCCTTTTCCCAACCCCACGACATTCCCAGACTACAGGCAACCTCTACAATCAGTGAATATCAGCATTTTTTTCCTAAAATTCCACTTTTTTCTTGTATTTTTTTCCTGCCAGGGCCACAAAATAGAGTTGGGATAATTGAAGTGTCAAGCAGTGTTGGCTGAGGGAGCAAGCCATGGATTAATTGTGGAATTCATTAAAGTGAGTGTGGATAAATATATAAAAATCACCTTAAATGATAAAAATATGTTAAATGATAAAAACATGTTAAATTATATAAATATATTAAATTATATAAATACATAAACCCATACAAACATAGAAAATAATATAAATATTGAAAATTATGTAGATATAGAAAATCATATAAAGATATAAATGGGTCTATTTTTTAATATTAATTTGCATTTATGTATTTTAACTTATATTCAATAAAGCCCCACTGATGGGAAGGTGAAGCCAGGTGGGAACTGAGCTCTGCTTGAGGGAAAATGGGAGAGATGTGAGGGGAAAATGGGGGAAATTCCAGGGGAAAATGGGAGAGATGAGAAGGAAAAAATAGGGGAGATTTGAAGGAAAAATGGGGGAGATTTG